GCTTTTAAAAATAACCCACAGAATACATTCATTATTTTACTGGTAAGATTATTCCAGTATTCTGACTCCAGAGTTGCTTTTGTTTATTTAAAGAAGTACTTACACTTAATTCTAAAAACCAGAAGAACAAAGCAAAAGTATTTTCAACAGCAGGCATACACTTGCCCTTAAAGTGTAATGAAGGTATTGCTGATTTATCCACAGTCTATGAATCACACCAGGCCCACTATGATGATGCATTATGCTAGTTTTTGCATAATGCAACAGACAGTAAGCATTTACTTTCCTGGAATTTGCAGAGTAACTTCCAAGTTCATACAGTCTGACACACAAAAGTGTTGCAATCATATGGTTGCTAGACAGAGGCAAGTGGCCATAGATCTTTGGAGCCTGAACTCCAAGTCTGGAAAAGTACTCAGACCTCATAGGTGGCTTTGCAAGACCATCCCACTCTCCCTCTTTCAGTGCAGTACCAATGCAGGTATGACAACACCAGCATTATCTCTGGGGTCGCAAGAACAACCTTAGAGATGGGGCTGACTGGGTGTTCCAGGGAGGCAGAAGAGGGTGGAGATAGGCGCCACTACAATATAGAGAATCCTGGCAACACCTCTGCTACAACATACAGCATTTAGGTAGCAGGAATTGGCTGCTCAAGTGCTTTGCAAGGTGGCAGAAGCACAGAGGCAACCTTTGCCTGAATGTTATTTCTGCCATGCATTGGATGCCTGTAATCCTCTGAGTTTGGAAGGTTACGGGCATCTGTGCACCCTAAGGCTACAATCCTATACACACCTTTGAGTAAGTCTTATTCAAATCAATGCTACTTATTTATGAATAGATATGTATAGAATTGCCTGTTTTGTTTATGCAGATTATATTACACTTTTTAAATGTATGTAGTAAAGTTGAAGAGGGTGGAAATAGGCGCCACTACAATGGCCTGTTTTATTAAATTGTTGGACATTATAGGAGCTATTGAATTGGTATTGTTCACACAATTTTCATTGGAAATGGGGACCCTTTAGCTATAAATATGTAAGTGCTTGATGCTATTATTTAATTTGTGGTATTAGGGGTTATTGTAATTATTCTGAATTATATAATGAATGATGAAGAAAAATATCTGGAAGAAAAACAAGTAATTTTGTGTATGCATTTTTTTTCCTTACAGGGCTGTCACAGTTCTCCTAATTACAACTTCCAAGAAACTGTACTATAAGAAGCGACAGATACCTCAAGGCAATTCCACACTGAGCATTCTCTTCCTAGTTGGTGTCACTGTAACAACCTTCCATTGACCTACCCAATGGGGGAAAGTCTCTGGAATGACTGAGCCATCCAGTAATTTCTGCTGTCAACCTTTCATGCAAGAAAGAATGACATTCCACAAAAGGTTTAACAAATCTATCCAGGAAATTAATAACCTCTACAGTATTTATACAGTTTCTGAAACAGTTATTTCATTTAAAGAAATTCCTTTACCTACCGTATCAGAGATCTGGCTTAAACTATTTTATCATGCTTGGATGTATGCTGGGGTGGAGGGAGGGGGCTAAAGTAAAGCTTCTATTCCCTAAATACATTTTACAATTTCCTTTTAAGAAGAACTATTATGAATACACTGTTAAAACAAAGTAGTTCTTTAAATTCATAAATTTTATTTTTTTTCAACTGTGCAAACACTGCTACTAAATATATGTATACCAGTAACACCCTTTTACCCAATTCTGGCTTCTTAAAAGTGCTGGGTCTAAAATTTAAGACCCACTGACTTCAGCAGAGTTAAATAAATAGGTAGCTTTCTGCCACTGGCACATCTTAGAAGTAGTACTAACTCCAAGGGCTGGGGTCCCTCCTAGATAGCAAGTTTCCTTATAGCATGGACAACAACCTTGCTTCCTTAATCTGCCACTCCTTTATGCCCCACCCAAACCATTTTTTCTGGAGTTGTATCCCTCAGAAGTAGCTTAATTCTGTATACTGTGCTGTCTGAAATTTGCTGATATAAAACTACACCCAACACAAACGCACACACACATTTTATTAAAATGTATGCAACCTACTCCAATTAGGAACATATCTTTGCTACAACCTACAATCCACAATTTTCTCTAGCATTTCCTTACTACATGTTTACATACATAAAAACAAGCATAAACTTGGTTTGTTTTCAATACATAAGATTACAAAGAAAAATAACAAGTATTATGCTTTTATACACTTCTGTAGAAATGCTTTTGTAATCTTTTTTATTTTGCCTGGATCACAACATGAAGGTTGGGAGACACAGCCATACAAATTGGGTTGAATATAGATTCCATCACACTTAGAAAACACCTATTTAAATCAGTGAGATATGAAACTCACTACCAACTTATTTTCTGATTATTTCAATGGGCTTATAGGTCCAAGCTATCATAAATAGAAAAAACTAAATCACCAAATCCTGCTTGATCAGCTTATTCAGTCTAAATCCATAAAGACAATTTATGTTGAATTAAAAGCTAGGATGCAATCTAGAACAGCTTTTTTGACCAAAATCTTCAGGGATATTAACATCAAGAACACTATTTCATCTCAACTAGGAACAGATGCTTCCTCCTGATAAAACTGTTTCTTCACATTTCAGACCAGTGCCTATAATGCCTTCATGCTTGGTGATGGCTGCATAAAATTCTGATTCAAACACAGATTACACAGTTGCATGTCACATGGACTGAAAAGCAACTCCTCTGTATTAAGCATGATCTTTTGTCAGTTACTTACTGACAATGTAAGGGCAATGATCTGCTCTGAAAGAAGGACAAGTCTGTAAATGTGCTGCCTGCTGTTTTCACAGATACATGCACAGGACTGGTTCCAGATTTACTCTTACTCAGGGGTAGACCCACTGAAGTCACTAATATGTATGTCAATCATGACCAGCTCCAATCCTACTGATTTCAGGTGTTACTAAGTCTGGTTCCAACATACTGTTTCTTAATTTTAAGATGTTTGCAACATCTTACATTCATCCATGTCATCTATTATTTCTGGAATTTCATGTATTTTCCTACTCTCTCAATTGTTACACTGGTTGCTATGACGATATTCCGTATTGTAGCATATTCTTTCTGCCTATTCTTCTATATAGCCTGTTCATAGAAGTGGGCTAAGACCTCACTAGAAACACTCTATTTATACAAAAGAGAGGCTCTGATTGTAGTATACCTGTCATTGTGTATTCAATATCCAGAGGTATATGCATGCTAACATGTCTATGTTAACTGAGTCTGCACAGGTTGCCCCAATAGATATTTGGCATGACCAGCTATCACAATGGCCACCACTGCTTTGGAAGAATGCTGTAGGAATATGGGCAGAACCAAAACCACACTCTTTATCCCATCCTACTATGAACAACTGGGACAATGTATTAAGCGGATGAATATGCAAAGATTCTTGTACAAAGCAGCCCATTCACAGCCAAATAATGTGCAAATGGATCCATAGGACAAGGCTTACAGCTGCACTGAACTGATGGTGGGACACCCTGACCCCCTCCCCCCGATATGTCTATTTGCCAAATTTGGAATGTTGCTGAAATAAAATGTAGATTAGTTGTTCAAAACAACCCTTTAGTGTGCTTATCTTTCCTGGGGTTCCTTTTTACACAATACTAATGTAAAATATGTTCAATAAATAATTTAACTAATAATAAATAAAATATTAGCCACATTTGTTTCTAAAGGCCGATAAATCTCAATCCTTGTTAATATATCCTCTGTTTCATTTTGCTTGTGTCTTCTTTATTTATGCTACTTAGTAATAAAAGCTTGACCAAATTAAGGCATTTATCATCCATAATAAAAAAGTAAAATGCCCTTATGGGACAGTAACATTATCATAAATAGAAACTACAGATAATATGTCCAGCAGTCAGGTACCACTTTTCAAAGTGGTGATCCAGCAAAATAACTAATGGTGAAGCAAGCAGTTCCTATATTTTAAATAATCTTCAAAAGTGCTTACAACAAGAGGAGGTTTTGTCTAAAATATTTTTCAATCAATAGGACAAGAAAATGGCCTCATATGGCCTCTTATAAGATAATTTCTTATTGAACTGTATCGGGCAAATTGTCTAAACCTTCCAGTTGATTTCTCTGCATACTGCATTATCTCAACTGCTGCTTATCAAATTTACAAAGCTATTAAAACAACTATAACTTTGAAAATCAAATGTGAAAACAAAGGAAGGAAGAAACGGAAGAAGGAAAGAAGAATTTGACAATTTAGACCCATTCACCAAAGGTAAAACAGTAAAGGGGAGAATTGCAGCGTGTGCACAGGCGAACAAACTTGAGATTTGGTGAATGGGCAATCAGCACATGGGCTACCATCAGGGAATCAAGACTGAGGTTGAATTATATTTTCTATGGAAATTGCTAACCAGGTCCCATGTTAGGAAATATCCCACAGCTCAGCAGGCATGATTTGCATGCAGAAGGTCTCAGGATCAATTAGGCATCTCCCAGTAGGATTGTACAGACAAAAATTCTGGAGATGCTGCCAGCTGATATTCATACAATACTGAACAAAATGAACCAACACTCTGGCTCAGTATATGGTAGCTTGTTATGCTTACATTTCCAATATAAGTATCTGTTCAACTGTAGGAAACACTTTGGACACATATAGTCCTTAACAGGTTCAGATAAGGTTCATCTGCTGAAAACAGTGGGAAGTTCCTGTAGGCAGGACATGCAAACATCTGTGAATTTACTCCCTGTGAAAGCAGGGAAATTACACCCTAAATCCCATTTCACCTGGCATTTGTTACGGAGTAGATTTACCACCAGCATTTCAAATGCCAGCACACAAACCTTATCACTGAATGCATTTTAACGACAATCAGTTCCATTATTTTAGAACTTCACACACATACACAAACCCACATATAAAATGAAACAATATATATATAACTATCAATCAATTTCTTCATAAATTAACCTACTTACCTTTTCAACAGGTGCATTCTCTTCACATGTTGTTACACTAGCTTTTCTTGAGTCAGTTTTTGACCTACTCAATCTCCGGGATACTTTTTCTCTAAGTAAAGTAGCATATCCAATGTGTTCATAGATAGGATTTGTCGTCATTTTAGAAATATATTCAGAAGCCTTGGTTTCAATATACAGCGTTATCAAGCCGTCTGTTACCAAATCATGGATGGATTCAAACCTCTTCTCCCCTACAAAGTGCTTCCCATCATAAAAAAGCCTGTAGTTTAAGGTCTGATTACCAAATCTGTATCAAAACACAATGAAGTTGTTGCATTAGTGTTTGAACACTCCAAATCTGATTCTTCAGATGACACACACTACAAAGCAGGGGTGTTGAGCCTCTTTCTAGCAAAGGACATTTCAGAGAAGCTTTCTCAGACAAAATTCCAGTAGTAAACTAGGGCTGAAAGCAATATGAGTAGGGCCAAATTTGCCAGCTTTTACTGGCAGTAACTTAGACTTGGAAAAGGGCATCTGGACCTTTACAGGGGTGAAACTGTACAAAAGCTGGGGCACCAAAAATGATTGGTGGCTGTGGAAAGATGATGGGCTCATGGCCACCTTAGGAAGCCTATCATACTGGATTTGCCCCCATGAGCCCAATTTGGCCCTGAAGACTGTGATTCTGGATCCCTGTTATAAAAAGATGGGATGGGGCAGAAAAGAAAGTTGTATTTTGTCACTCAACAGAAATTAATTCCTTAAAGGCAGATTGTGTTGGAGCTGGATTAGAATGCTTGACTAGGTTTCTACCAGTGTAGAAATAGCATTCCTAAGTATGTAAACATGGGAAACACTTGGCAGAAGGCTTTGAAATAAAAATCAATCCCTGTCCCCTTTTGGAGTATGAATTCCCAAATGATTCTCAACTGCAGTTACAGTTATCCACAGATGCAGATCAGCAGGGTCAAAAATTAAAGCAGTTTCAAATTTTTGAACCTTGATTCACTTAATGCTTAATTACTTTTCACACATTCAGGTGCAAATTGCTCTTTTGAGTAGAGCAGTTGGTGGAAGGGACCACAGGGACTTTTGGCATGTTTTTCATTACTTTACAGTTTAGAAATCAGCAGCATTGGGTTTGTAGTGGTCTGTGAAGAGTGAGGATAGTCTGGCCCTCCTAACACTATATGCAATCATTAGGGGGCATGCTAAAGTTGTTATTGCTACATAGATACACAAGAGAAGTGTAGAAATCCAGTATCCAGTCTGCAAAAATTAATGTTTTAACATATCTCAGATAATAAGGTATCTAATAATGTCTAGCAGACATGCTGAATATATTAAACCATTTTAAATACATAGTATTTTGCATGCAGTTATTATAATCATGATACTAGTATGGAAGACCTGAAGACCTTAATGATAAACAACCACTTCTTAAACTTTACATACAGAAAAGCAGAGCTCACCTGAGGGCTAAGGTGTAGCATCCAGGTTGTCGCTGACTTTCTCTGAGAATATAAGCTCCTTCTACACCTCCAAGTAATTCATCTGCCTGCTCACGAGAAATGATCCCATGAAACCTGACAGGAAAATACCAAAATTTAGAGAATTATGTAAAGGGCGGAAGGTCACAGAAGTCCACATAAGCAAGTTATGACATAAATATGAAGAGGGCACATAGATCACAGGAAAAGAAAGCATAAAAATGTGTTGTGTGTGTCTATGAACAGCTTGGTGCCAAGAGAAACATTTTTCTAAGGCTAATTAGTAGTGTGGAAGAGAGGTTTTTGTCAAGACTGCAGTAGAAGAGAAGTAGTTAATCTTCCTTCCTTGTGCACCTTATTCCAATGAAAACTGGGGACCAAAGCTGCCAATAATTTAAAAACAAGTACCAGATTTATTACTGCAACCACAGATCATAACAATATCAAAATCCAAACATACAAACAAAATACAACCAAGCTATAAGTCCAAAGTAGTTAATGCAACTGAGGAACAAACAAAAAGAGATGTGATTTCTATTAAAATGTTTAATGTCACATTGACTGTGACACTCAAAAGCTTCACGGAAAAACTAATTTTAGAAAGACAAACCCTGGAAACAATTAAAATTTATTTATTCATAATATTTCTGTTTTACCCAATAACCAAAGCTCTCCGGGCAATTTACAATACTTGAGAGAGAAGGAAAAGGTCTTGCTTTAAAAGCTGATGAAAGCACCAGGTGAATACTGAACCATTTTGTTAGTGGGCATATAGCAGCCATTGCAGAAGGAGAAAATGTATTAAGACTTCTCACAGTGCAATGCCAAAAAGTATCAATGGTTATGTTACTACATAAGAAATAGCGACTAAAGAAAATATAGGCTGTATGTACATTAGTGTGTACATATTCTAATACATGTGAAGCAGAAAGATCTCCAAATGTTTTGATCTTTATTTCCCAGCACTTCTGACATGGACCAAAATGACAGGGATTTCAGGGAGTTCAGCTCTCAAACATATTGAGATTTATTTTTGCCCTTTTCTGCCTAATGTGCCACAAAAATAATTAGCATAAAATGAGCTATAAATAGCTTGGACAAATGGAAGAACCTTGGAGCCACTTCTCACACAGTTCTCTTCTGCTAATTCATAAACAGCTTTTCCATGATCAGAAGAGGCTTTTCACTAGGCCTCTTTGGTTTATCCAGCACTTAGTGTTGCCAAATATCCCTCCTTGTCTATGAAGAAAATTTATTTGATGCTTATCCAGCTCTGGATGCTTATCCAGACTCATAAAAGTCAACAAGTCAAGAACCCTACACATTGCTTTTGGATCTCATGTATGAGTTTTGATTTAAGAACACAAACAGAGCAACCCAAAGACCTATTCAGTCTAGTATTCTGCTCCCAGCAGTGGAAAAACAGCTGTTTCCATCTTATTTGTTCTAAGAAGCACATAACATTTTTATCCCACAGTTGTTCACCAGCAACTGGTATTCAGAGACATACTTTCTCTGAAGATGGAGTTAGTAAATAGTCATCCTATTAGTAACCATTGACAGCTGCATTCACACTGAATTTATCTAATCTTCTTTTAAATAAGTTGACTGATATCACAATTGTGACTTTCACAGTTTAACCATGTGCTGTGTGGATCTTTGATATTTGAGGAGGGGAGAGGAGAGGAGAGGAGAGGAGATTTTGTGGAGGGAAAAGAGACAACAAAAATTAAATTTGTCTAGCTCGTTTTTCCCCAAACCCAGTCAATGGTAATATCATGCACAGGAGCACAGGAGTTTAACAAACATGGGACCCCTGGTGAATCTAGGCTTAAATTAGGTGCAAAGAAAGTGCTGGAAAAAGCAAATGCTCTGTCTATCAGTGATCAAAAGAAAGGGATAAAGTGATTTTGAAGCTAGATCTGTTTTTTCTAATTGTTTCACTTTCTTTCCCCCTTCCATCATTCAATTTAGAAGAAATCCAACACTTCAGGGATTCTGTACGGCAGTAATTTGATGAAGAAATAGAACTTTATAACTTTACTGGAACCCATAATTCAGTTGTGACCTTTTATCAAGTGCAAAATAAATGCAGAGTAAATAAACTATCAAGTTGCATATATATTTAACTAGCTGAATTACTAGGACACTTTGGAGATGTTTGAAGCTAAGCAAAAGGTTTTTGCTGAAACATTGTCAATGCATGAAAACCCCCACCCCCAGCCTTAAGCATATTTTCTTTTTTGCCACAACACACAGAAAACAGTATGTTTCAAATGGAAAGTATAATTTAGTAGTGATGGGGAAGGTAGACAAGGAAATCTAAGTTCAGAATTATTCTTCTGAGTCCTAATTTGTGAGCAAAACCAATTTAATGGTTTTGCTGTTAATTGCAAAGAACACAGGAACAGATATATGTTTCAGGTATCCTCCTCTGGAAAAGAAATTCATTCACATGCATTCTGAGAATCTGGACTTCCATGAATAAAATGGAACTTAAGGAAGATACAGTTCTAAAATATATAATCTTTTCATTAAAAATTAGGCATTACAATTTCATATTGCACAGTGACACACATCAAATGACAACTTATAAAATAATGCTTGCAATGACTTTAATACATACTCTCTTCCATAGTATTTTGGTCTGTTCTCCACCTAAATGCAAACAAAAAAACCAACAACATTAACATTAATGATGTAGCTGGAAATATAAATTAGCAGACGTAATAAAAATTTAACCTAGTAAAACAATGGTTTAAATCCAGCACAGAAACCAATTGAGATGTGAGCATGGCTGCTGGATTTGGGTCAATTAAATTTGTTTTGTTTTGCTCAATACAAAAACTGTGGTTGTGCTCTGATGCAAGGGAATGTAGGTGAATAGTTGCTCTCCCTGAAAATAATGAACAATTATAGGGAAAGAGCTTTGGCTTAAGTCCCTCTGTCTTCCGCATATCTTCACAAAGATCTGAGCAATTATCACTAGAACAAAACTATCAAACTTTTCATGCTGAAATTATTCAAATAAAAGCAAAATAAACTAAATATTTAGGGTTGTTTTTTGCCATGAACACACTTGGTGGCCTCAGGCAAAGTATATTCTCTGTCAGCCAACCACTTGCGATATGGTGAAAACAAGTCTCATATTGCTACTAGATAAAGAACAAAATCATGCTTGATAGAAAAGAATCAATCAATATATTCTTAATATTAGTTTATTAATCATCTATTAATACTAATATCAAAATAATAGTTTCATATAGTTATTAATTTCATAGTTCTTGATATATTAGTTTCATAATGTTCTTAATATTAATTTCTTAAGAGGGAAAGCGCATAAGAAAATTAAGAGCCTTTACAAATTAAAATGTAATGGAAAGGCTCCTTGATCATATACACTTGCAGTGAAATACTGTTCATTTCAATGCAACTAATTTCCACTCAGTTACACTTAGATTAGAACATAAAGGAACAAAACTTTTCTATTAATTTTTTGAAATAAGTGGTGCTTGCACAGAAATGATGCCTGAAGGATGGTGCCCTTTTTCAGGAGAAATGCAATGAATTAATCATAAATGCCATACATAATATTAAACATGAGCAAATAAATGCCTGGCCAGCAGAGGGCACTTCCTTACAAAGTTTGACATGTTTTTGTTTAATGTTAATTTAAATTTGAAAAATATTGTGTGAATACTAAAAATTAAGATATCCCTAATTTAAGTAGTCATTACTTGTGTTCTTTTAACAGGCAGTCTTGTATCAACTGGTACTAAAATTATAATGGTCTATAAAAGTAGGCTTTGACTTTTCATTTTTATGCATATATGATTTTAATGCTTCAAAACAGTTTCATAAAGAGAAATTATTTGGTACAGTAGTACATGTACCCAGTTCTGTGCTGAGATCTTAATGCTGGTCCATGCCTGGTGAGTCTCAGTTTTTGAACCTGAGGTTGTTAACTGCTGCATCTACTTTTTGTTTCTTTGCAAAATTAACGTCCAAGCTCTACACAAACAACTTTTAATTGGAAGCATTTATTGTTTATTGTCATGTCTAAGACACCTTTCAATACAACAACATCTACTTTTATGTATTTTATCATGATGAGATGAGGCTATAGTGAATGACCACTAAAATTATCAGGAAAGAATGAACAAGATGTTGGTCTGTTCATCACAGTTTGTCTCAACATGTATGTTGCAGGTTGGATACCAGGCAGATCTATTTCATTTCAGTAATACTTGACGTATCTGCTAAACTTGAAGCATAAACAAACTCAAATCCCGGTCGCTATTAGTTAGTACAATTGTTTTCTCTTCACAGCCAGCCCATAGGAAACCTTGAAATCTGGACAGTCCCAAAAAACAAAATTCTTGACACACTGAAAGCTTGTATCATTTAGGTTACCTCCGATGCATTTCTATCTTTAATGTGATACTACAAAAGATTATCCAAAACCCCAGATTAGGGCTAGAAGAATCTCTTTACAATGTCTACTGTCTATTTATTTACTATATTTGTATCTTACAATTTTTCCAAGGAGCTCAGGGCATCATTTTAGCATCACCGCAACCCAAGTATAAAATGTCAAAGAACTTTACCGAATGCCTATCTAAAAATAATGTTTTACTAGGTTTTAAGCATAGCCTAGTTCAATGACTTCAAGATTATGGTTCAAATAAATATGACATTTTCTGAACATAGCTAGTATTAGAAGAAACCACATCTTTCAGGCTATCTTAATATATTTTAAGTGTGTATATGTATAAAATACTCCAAGAAATCCCCTCCTGAAAAATAAGCTGAGGAGAACTTATAATACAGACATGGGAAGGTTGCTGGATTAATTTCTATCAAACAAATGGAGATCATGCAATAGAAGCTCATTAACCAATGTGATGTTGAAGAGAAGACAGTCACCTTGAACCCAAAGGCACTTGCAACTAAATGTATGTAGGATCAGGCATGAGTCCTTGCTGAGTCAACAAACATTAAGCTTTCAGTGAACTTGAACTGCACTACTTTTCCTCTTTGGAAACCTGAACACAGTGACTTTCTGTCAGTACACTAAAAATATTTTATTTATTTATTTATTTAAAGTATTTATATGTCGTCCTGTCGCGAAAGCCTCGGAAATGGTAAAGAAAAATACCATTATAAAATTAAATGTCACTGTACAGTAGAAATGTCTCAGAAGTATTTGTACAATCAAACAATTATTTATTGGTCATTGAATAAAATACAACAAATAAAATACAAAATTGCAATTAGTTAAGAAAAATACAGTTATTCTAAAAAAATCTAACAACATTTAGAAATAATTCTACGGCAGACTGTACAGACTACTGAACAGTACTTGGCTGTGGTCAAGGGAATAAAGTCAAATTGATCAGATAAAAGTATCTTAAGATAAAAAAGATGGGAAGGACCAGGATATTTCAAAATGAATGAGAATAACAATTCCTGGCCAGAGAGCAATAAAGAATAACATGCTCCAGAGAAAATATTTGTAATTAACACACATGTAGTGCATAAAAGTTCTGAAGACCATTTCTCATCGCAAGCAAATACTCTGTATCCAACATGATATCCAAATTGTCAAAAGAAATCATCCTAAGGACTTCTTTTGATTTCAGAATTAAAGTTGGTTTTTTTCCTACAAATGTTGTTGCTTTACAAGCTGGTGTAAGAAAAATAAAAGTAGACTTGAAAAAGATTCCGGTTTTCTAAAATTAGATACGTACCTAAAGTAAAAATTGACCTTCAGATCTTAAAGGTAGGATCATTTTTGCCACCCTTGAATCAGCTCATCTTCTAACATTACAGGTGTATTTTGAAAACAGCATCTGAACTCAGGCTGCCATCAATATTTCAACCCTTTAAAGTATCTGTGGCACATCTACTGATTTGTCAAACCAAAGAACACCCATTATTTGCAACATGACATCTTACTATCTCGACGTATTTGGTTTATGAAAAAGAGTGACATTCCCTTGCAATTGCTCTTCATTCTCACATGTCAATTGAATAAACTGCAGTATATTTCAATAATTATTTCTTGTGTATTTCATCAAGGCCCTATAGCAGTGGTGGACGAACGTACGGCATGCATGCCACAGTGGGCACGCAGAGCCCTCTCTGTTGGCATGCGAGGCAAGTCGCGACAGCATCGCCCCAGCAGCCAAGCATTGGATAACAGCGCACATAGGGACCATGCGCATGCTCAGAAAGGAGTAGTGGCGCTAGGCGATGACGTCCCAAGACGCGACTTATTAGCTGTGACTCATCCAAGCTTTCCCATGACCAGGCAGTGCACTGCCAAGGATATATATATATGCTTGGACTGGCTGTGAGTTGTTTTTTCTAAACTAAAACCTCAGTTTGCAGGTTTTATTGTAGTGTTGGCACTTTGCGATAAATAAAAGGGTTTTAGGTTGCATCTAAACGGTTCACCATCACTGGGGTGGTGTCCTGGTATGATTTTGATGGTTGGAATGTGTTTAGAATGGACAGAAAAGATGAGCTGCGCAGAAAAAGCTACTCAAGGAAGGCTTTTTCAAAATTGCCCTCTTTTCAAAGGAACTTTCACCCTCTATTAGGGTTAGGCGTGCACACCAAGGAAGGGTTAGGGTTAGAAAAGCGAGGTGTCCTGGCATAATTTTGATGGTTGGAATGTGTTTAGAATGGGCACAAATGTTGAGCTGTGCAGAAAAAGCTACTCAAGGAAGGCTTTTTCAAAATCGCCCTCTTTTCAATGGAACTTTCACCCTCTATTAGGGTTAGGGGTGTGTACCAGGGTAGGGTTAGGGTTAGAAAAACAAGGTGTCCTGGCATGATTTTGATGGTTGGAATGTGTTTAGAATGGACAGAAAAGATGAGCTGTGGAGAAAAAGCTACTCAAGGAAGGCTTTTTCAAAATCGCCCTCTTTTCAAAGGAACTTTCACCCTCTATTTGGGTTAGGCGTGCACACCAAGGTAGGGTTAGGGTTAGAAAAACGAGGTGTCCTGGCATAATTTTGATGGTTGGAATGTGTTTAGAATGGACAGAAAAGATGAGCTGCGCAGAAAAAGCTACTCAAGGAAGGCTTTTTCAAAATCGCCCACTTTTCAATGGAACTTTCACCCTCTATTAGGGCTAGGGGTGTGTAACAGGGTAGGGTTAGGGTTAGAAAAACAAGGTGTCCTGGCATGATTTTGATGGTTGGAATGTGTTTAGAATGGACAGAAAAGATGAGCTGCGCAGAAAAAGCTACTCAAGGAAGGCTTTTTCAAAATTGCCCTTTATTCAATGGAACTTTCACCCTCCATTAGGGTTAGGGGTGTGTACCAGGGTAGGGTTAGGGTTAGAAAAACAAGGTGTCCTGGCATGATTTTGATGGTTAGAATGTGTTTAGAATGGACAGAAAAGATGAGGTGCGCAGAAAAAGCTACTCAAGGAAGGCTTTTTCAAAATCGCCCTCTTTTCAATGGAACTTTCACCCTCTATTAGGGTTAGGGGTGTGTGCCAGGGTAGGGTTAGGGTTAGAAAAACAAGGTGTTCTGGCATGATTTTGATGGATGGAATGTGTTTAGAATGGACAGAATAGATGAGCTGCGCAGAAAAAGCTACTCAAGGAAGGCTTTTTCAAAATCGCCCGCTTTTCAATGGAACT